AATTAGAGATTAATAAATAATTAAGAAATAGCATAAGACAGTTGTTTAAGATATGCAATTGATTCATTATACGTGACATATATCCTGCATATATTTGCGATTATATCATGAATCTAGAGCAAGTTAATTGCGATTATACAACAACTTTAATATAATTAACCTTGCTTCTATTTCATTTTTGCGCTGCAAAGCAAGATGCAGAAAAAATTTACATGTAACGATCCGCTAAAACAGATTACACGAGAATTATACGAGTCAGCGTAACTAATCTGGCATGAAAAGCGAAGATTATGACGTCCAAAGATTGATACGACATAAATTAATATGAAAGCTATTTGTAAGGGCGAACCGCACATGCATTCCATCCATCCCAGAAATTACTATGTTGCATGAATGCATTCTTGTTTATATATATATCTGATTGCGCGAGATATAATATTAATTGTGTTATTCTGTTAGTCCACCACTTATTTTTGCAAACATCAAGATGTATTTTTACGACGTAACCGCGACTCATTATTCAGACATGATTTTTCTTGCGTAAAAACTTTTCTCGAAGAAAACGCAAACAAAATATATAAGAGCAGTATTTTTGAATTTATCCGCTATGTTTTTACATCAGCATTGGACGTTCTCTTCCCTTTTTAATCTCATTAAATGTATAGAAAAATAATTCGATAAATAACTTTATCACATTATTTTCTGCAAAATATTGCATGTAAATAACGTATGATTAGACATTTAAATTATGTTTGCATCGTGTAAACGAACGAGACTCGGAGATATCTGCGATGGTTCAAGAGTTTAATATTTTCGCTTGATATGATAACACCTACATGTGAATATATGGCAGGTCGATTTTTTTAACATACGATATTCTCCCATGCTGTATCGAACGATATCTGTACTAGTCGATATCGATACGAATATCAATTGCAGCCGGAAAAGAAAAGAAAAAACTAGATGCTATCCGATCGCTTAATTAAACCGAGAGAACCTGCGTCAATCTAGCCTCTTATATTATTTTTCCTTTAATCGCCCACTACCAAACAGGCAAATCGTGGAAACGATTAAAATGACGATTAAATGCCAACCGATGCATAGTTTTTAATACGATGAATACCGCCGAATATTTGCTTATTAGCGAAACGCCGCGGGCAGCGCCCTTTTAATTAACGTATTGTGCGTGCGATTTAAAATTAGCTAATACGTCGTTAATAGGTCAAATGGATTCTGTTTTTTTTTCGCGTTATTACATATTACACCGATATAATCAACCACACGTATTGCCAATCAATTTTGGGATTAGTGTTCAGCTAATAACAAGTGACCCATAATCATATCTCACTTTACTTTCATGACTATATTTTTCTAGTCGCGAAAAATTTTTCCTTGGCCAACAATGATAGCAGCGTTTTTTCGAGCATGTCTCCTTGATGAAATCAATCATCTCGTTGAGGTGATAATTAGATTACCGATTGGTAATATTAATTTTTCACGTCGCATTGTCGTTTTCATATCGCGCAGATCTTACTTAACGAATCTTACGCGCAAATGCATCGTCATCGTTGTGATCAAGTCTCGTTTTAGCATGACAATGCTATTCTCCTTCTGTTCTCTCTCTGAAATTCTCTTTTCGGAATCCTGACGTGCCGTACGCGATCATGGTAGGATACACCCGGTTGCGCAGATGGGTTACCTTTGCATTACCGCTGTTTTTATTTACGTATCAAAGTGGACGATGCAGGAACTGTGACCGGATGAAATTTTAGTGAAGTGCGTGCGTGAAAAAAAAATGCGAGTGAATCGATCGAACGACTTTCTTTGACAAAATTAATTGCGCGTGAAATAATTTACATGAAATCCTCAAGAGGAAAATTTTAATTCGATTTTTCATTCTAGTAAAAATCTCTTATCGTTATAATGTGTTTCAAATTTTAATATTCAAATTTTAATTTTTATTATCTTTTTTTTTGCTATTAAGTCTAAAGACAAAATTTATATTGTCAGTTGACATTGTATTTTGTAAAACGTACTTTACGAATAAATATCATTTCAATATGACAAGCAGATTAGATTCTATTTTTAATAAAATTTTATCTAGCTTTTATATATCTCCTGCAAAATGAAAATTTATATCCCGCCATGTCATGGAAAATGACTTGTACAAGATAATGAGAAATTAACAATAAGGGATTTCCAGGTAATAACGCCTACGTTAAGTGCAAAAGATAACGAAGAGCTTCGTTCGACAATCATGAGAGAACGCAATACGAGTGAATTGTACTTGTCGTAATTGTTGCGCTTGCTGTTTATTAACGTTTAGACATTCGCGTGAGAATCAAAACACGTCTTCATTAATTTAAATACAATTAAATTCTTTTTCTACAGCTGCTATGTTTTCGTGTTTGTTAAAAATATAGTCTCTTTCTATTATAATTTTATTAATAATATAATATAATATAATATAATACACAATATTATATATAATATAATATAATATAATACACGCATATGCTTGTACTCACTGCTTGTACTCACTGCTTATATTTTCTCAACAGGAAATGTTATATATCATGAATAGTGAGAAAAAAATTAATGATTATTTGAATGTATTAATTATAAATTTGTAAAATAAATACAATATATTTTTCTTTTATTTAGATTTATAAAACTAGCCTAATTTACATTTCACTTTTAATCGGAATACAACTTGCAAAATGTTTTACTTGTGACATCTTGACTACAACAAATTTTAATATCTTCATCTGTGATTTGACACGCTTTCTTGCACACTTATAGTTAGGAATTAAATAATATTTTTCATTTCTTCGCGTAGTCATTTCTTTTTTCATAATCAATTTTTTTTACACAAAGCTAGAATTAACATCGCAATGTTCGCGAAAGTGATACTCAAGAAACAGCGTGATTCATTCTCCAGTCAATGTCCAACCTCTCGTCTTGACAGAAACAATGATTCATTTCTTGAATTGCATAATTTCACCTAGTGCACTAAATGTCCTTTTCTTCAAAAGCCTTTCTGGCGTAATTTTAAGTACAAAAGCTTGTCATTTACTTTGTCGCTTACGTCACTCTCTCTGCAGCACTTATCTCCCTTTCTTTTATTTACCCTGCACTGCAGAATGCATGTAAAAAAATCTCGGACAAACAAATGACATATTATATGCATTGACATACAAAATCTATTTACCTTAGAATATTTATACTGGGAGAACTATTAGTTTTTTTTATCTCTAACATGTATTTATCTTTATTTAAATTGAATGTATACATCTAAGATACTTACATGTCATCTTTTTTCTATCAAAACAGAGAGAACATGCATCTTCACGATTTGAAGTGAGTATAAAGCATCATTCTAAGGATTAAAATTTCTCATTTACATGAATTTAACGCACGCGAAACGAATCGGAAATCTGGCGCATTATGTAAATGACTCTCATTAAGTCGGATGTTTGGATAACAGCGATCGTTATTGTACCCTGAACGACGATAATACAATCAAGTAACCTCGTTATAGTGAAACTATATAAGCGATCGGTTCCCATACAGTGTTTCTATCCCACCGCCAATTAAATCGCGAGCGACAATTAACGTTGTAACAATTAAATGCGTCGCATTCCTAGCGACACATTTTCGCACCCACTTTCTCTCTTCCTTCTCCCTTCCCCTCCTTCTCTCCTTCATTTCCTCTTTTTTTTATACTCCATTCGATTATCACGCTGATTGGAACTTCACTGAGCATCGTTCCGTAACTGATCGCTGTGCACCATCGCGTATGCGTCGGCGAGTACCGCTATGTTCGACGCGAGGTACACAAGGACCACTCTCCTGTGTTCCTCGCAGTTAGATGAGTCAGTCGGTCAGTCGGTGAATATACTGTTCGCGTAATTTTAGATTGCCTTCGGCGGATTCCCCGATACGTCCGAGCGATCGCGAACGAACTAAACGGTTAAAACCGCGACTCGCATCCTGATATGACAGAGATGCTCCAGATGGGCCCGACTTAGCTAATCGATTTCTGAGGGATATTCGGATGTGGTAGAAAATAATTTACTCTTTACATCTCTTCGCGCCGGACACGAAGTGAAGAAATTCGCAAACACCCGAGGAAGAAAATTGCTTGTGGAAATCGACGAGTATCGTCGATTTTATTCGCGCGATTTTTGTCGCGTAATTCGGTCAAACGTGCGCCGCGATAAGATAAATTCGTTTCTGAAAAGAGGAACGTTAAAATTTAATAAGTTCTCTTTAAGAGTGCTCTCTGAATTTTAACTCCTGCTTGATAAAAATATTAAAAATATGTAGCAAATAATAGCATGAATGGAGGAGGAGTAAGAAGATCCTAAAAGATCTCTTTTTAAATTATTTTATGTGAACTGCAAATATTTTCTTAAGGTATCAGACTTTACGTTTCCAGTCAATTATAAGGAAGCTTGTTCGCGTTATGTAGACGATTTAAACTTAAACATTATCTCGCGCGTTTTGAAATTTAAATCATACGTCCGTACGTCATTTTCTTATATTACTTACAAATTGCAAATTTATTCTTCACGTCATGCGCGATTGCATTAATATTATGCGAGGATGATTAGCAGATGATAACGACAATTCATAACGAGCATTATTCTTGCTTATATAATTATAACGTGCGCATTATGCTAGAAAAATAAATAGCCGTGAGTTCTAATTGTACGTATCACTCGTCGGTTGCAATTTACGTACTTTTAACATAAGCGCAAAAATAGTCGCGTAACCTGTTGCATCTCAACCTCTTCATCTTGAGCTTACAAAGATTTATCTGCGTCCAGATTTCGTCGTAAATTAATGCATCACAGATACAGATGTTATTATGTGTATGAGTTTTATTTCAAGAACTATAAAATGTTTTGCTCGCTAAATAGTTGCGAGTTTAAAAAAATATTTTTGTCTTAATAATTTCAAAAATTAAGAACAAATCTTTATGTAATTTATAAAAATATCATAGTTGGAAACAAATTGATTTGAAATTTGTTTGGATATTCAGACACGTTACATGATTACGTTTGATTGATCTTGACATTAATCCGTAAATCATACTTTAATATCGTTAAAGTGTGCCATAAGAACACGAGTCGTGTCGCGGCACATTACACTTCGTGTCCCGAGCGTGATCGTATGTAAATGTCAACATCGTAGCGTCGATTTCACGCATCTAGTATTCCGAAACAAGATCCGAAATGCATCTCGCTTTAAATTCGAGCGAGTTGCTGGAAAAAGTCACGGCTAACGAATTTAGAGCGCAGAAGAATTAAAGATCGCGCGGTCAACGGAAGGACAGACTCTAACGATCTCTCTCACTCTCTTTCTCTTCTCCTTCTTCGACGAGGAAGCCGACGAAAGTGTAACAGCGCAGATTTCCTAGACCAAGACTGGATGGTAGTGCGACTATAGGACTCGGCAAAGACGCAGTCCCTCGAGTCGAGCACTCAGCCACACTCTCGATGGACGCTCTCGAGGTCACGGAGTTAAACCAAGTGTACCCAAGATCGCGGTGTGTATCTAAGGATGTCGGCGAAAGGTGGAAGGAAAGGTCGCGTGGAGGGAAACGATGCTGCCGTGTCTGATAAGAAACAGTTAGTACTTTGTCAGTCTCTCGTTGCCGAAGTGAATCTTTGCTGTATGAGAAACTTGGAAGTAAATCGTGCTGTTATCTCAAAGTCCCTAAACAAAGTTTTTAGTGTCTACGAAGAGGAGCACTTTTGAATTTCGAAAGGTATTGTTCGCGATCGGAAATCGAAGGAAAAATGATCGAATCTGCGCGATAATAAAGCGTGCTTGGACGAAAGCTCGGGATTATCCGGCGCGATTTGTTCATAAAATAGCACCGTAACGTAATAACGCGGACGCGTAAATCCTGTGAACTTTCATGGAAGCTTTCTTTCGAGGCGCTACGTTGATTTATGCCCTAAGCTAGGGACGCGTGTAGATATGTGAGCCGCAAAAGCCGCGGTCCACGTTATTAAATTCCAGCGAATTGAATGCAACACGCGGGAAAAAGGACACTCCTCGTATCGTACGGGAGTATTCGTCCAAGACTTTGCTCGGATGACAATGATCGTCTACGTGGCCTTTTTCAGTTTAGTTTTCACTCTACGCGGACATTTGAGGGAAGAAGACGTCGCTGGTGAAAGGGCAACATCGTGGCCGCGTTAATTGATCTATCGCGATACGCGCTTTCTCGGATTGCCCCGGTGATTACATCACTGCGAAGAGCGAATTAGCGTTAATCAACGGACGTGGTAATGAACCGCCAACCGGTGGCGATAGAAGCCGTGTAACAAGACGCCTTGTGACCCGCTGCAGTTTTCCCGATGCGGCGACACGTGAGGAGTAGTGCTTCCACGCCGGATGAACCAAGGGCGATACGCAGGTGACACGAAGGGCGTCCGAATCAAACCCGGATCCGCTCTCGCCATCGGGTGGAAAACGTGCCCCATGTTCCGCGAAAGATTCGATGTCGCACGTGGCCGCGATCCGCCGCGGATGGATCGATCGTCTCGTCGATGCGGAAAAATCCTATGCGTTCTCCTTCTATCCAGAATGTTGCTCGTCCTCGATGCCAGAGGTGAGCATTACTGATGTCAACGGGGGATTCACCTTTTCACCCTTTTTCGAATTATTTTTGGGTGCTACAAGAATCGTCTCAGATAGAAAGGGAGAAGCCTTACTCGGGATTCAATTCTCTATTTGTCCAAATTATTTTTTAAAAGACACAATAGATAGAAAGTTTAGAAGAAAATTTTTATATTATAATTTCAAAACTACATTGATTGACAAATAATTGAAAACTACACTGATTGAAAGATTATATAAAAAGAAAGCGAAATGACATGAAAGCGGTTTATTTTATACTTGATTATCTTATAAGCGATTTATAATTGAAGATGAAATTTCATTTATCAATTTATATGTCATGTAAAAACACAAGAAATACTTGAAGAAGTAAAATGCATGCAAATGAGAATAAATGTACATATAAAAATACATGACGCATATAATAATTATAATTATAAAATCCTTTGTTGAGATGTATAAATCGTAAAATGAGATTTAAAATAATATGTTAAAGAAAAATCGCGACTGACATTACGCAAGAAATATAGAATCAACAAGTTTGCATTACGTTATTATATCTCCGTTACGATGCATAACAAACACATTACAATTCAGTATTAAATTCTGAAATTACATGGAATCAATAATTTATTTTATTAAATCAATAGTACTGTACAACTATAACATGTAATATAACTCCATATAGATATTTAAAATCATATATATCGAATATTAATATAGTATCATACTATTCAAAGGATAAAGGTATTTATGTATCAAACATATTTTTGTTCCCATATTGTTTGTCTTTTTTACATTTTATTAATGATTGCGCTTATAACGCAAATCTCAAAGTCATAAATAAAAAATTCAATATATAAAAAGCAAAATTATATAAATAATATTGCAAGTAGACATAAATTTTATTTAATTGTATATGAAAAAAATATTACTAATTATAAAAGTTTTATTAATTTTCTTTCGCATTTTTCTTAATTTTCGATATTTTCGCAAATATGCTATTTCTATTGTTAATCATCAATGTAAAATACACAATATGCGTGGGAGACATACACAATTATCTCCTTCTTTTAGTGTGAAAAATTTACACATCATTTTCTCGCTTTTTATTAATATAGTAGACATTAGCCATTGCTCTAATCATGTACTGGTGAAATTATTTTATCATAATAAAATTAGCAATAGATTGCATAGTTCTCTTAGAAAAATACGTACACAATTGCATATCAGATCTAAAAAGCAAGTTTCATTTCTAATTAAGTTGATTCACACACGACAATGAGACGCCCATTCAGGTCAAGCGACCTAAAGAGATAACTTTGTTCGCGACGGAGGAAAATAATGCAGGCATAATTAATTTAATGTTTAATGAGACCTCAAAAATTACCATACACAGCAATTTGAATAATGAGTGGGATCCTTTTCGCATTACTTTCTCCTTTTAAAATTATTTCTCTTCTATCTTATATCGTATTATATTGAAAATTCGAGCTTTGCACGTGTCTCGCAAGTTAAATTCGTCTCTTCGTAATGTTTGTTTCTTATATTTATTTTTGGACAGTTTATTTTCATGTGACATTTTATAATATTGCCATATTTTCCATTAATTGAATTTATTTTGGAAAATTCCATATTTACGATAGAATCTCGTTTGAAGCTTGACTTCTATGCTGACTTTATTCGCCTTCGCGTACTTCCAACGGAGGAAATCGACGTATTAAATTTTTACGTGGCTGTGCCATGGAAACCGCGAGCAAAAAGGAATTGTGTTACGTGGATTACAGAGACTATCGCGTCAGACTAATTAACGTTGCGAAGCATTATGACGCCAGTCGTTGATTGTTACCATGGAGCTGTTAAAAAGCCGTGATTCGATCGCGTCGTTTCATTTCGCGATCTCAATTTACTTATCGTTGAGCAGTTCCAACCGCAAGAAAAGAAAGAGAGAGAGAGAGAGAGAGAGAGAGAGAGAGAGAGAGAGAAATATGATGACGATAAAACGGTGTATAATCTCGCGAGACGCGTCGACTGTAACAAGTGTGTACAGTTACAATAATTCGTTACAGTAACTACACTACTACAATGTTTCTGTAGGAACGTGGCTCGCTAATTGTCTCTTTAATTATCTAACTGATCTGTTACCATTATAATTTCATCGCGTTATTGCAACAATTTTAAAAATCTGCGATTATTGATATTAGGATTTTTAAGTAAATAGTCTTGGTTATTAATAAATTTAAAATTTCTTTACTGTTTTTATATAAGATAAATTTGTTCTCACACTTGTCTTATATAAAAAAGGATAAAGAGATTTTTTTTTATTAATATTTGCATTAATAATTTCGCTTAATAATTTTCTCCTCATACTATATAATATTATTGCAATGTCTGTAATAATTTGTATCTAGCTGCCCATTATCTTTCTCTTTCACGATTACTGAGTCTTTTGCGTAAAAGACGAAAAGAATAACCATATTTTATTACAATAGATATTACTACAAATTCTAGCGAAAGACTGCAAATAGTAATTTGTACAATTACGTCATGAGATTAAAAATTAAGAATTCATAGACATTACCGCACACTTTTATGTGTTTAGATTTACTTTATTTTTATATGTAAAATCATATTTTAATATCCACAAATATTACATCAAAACATATAAAAAATGTCACAAATGTCAGAATATATGAATCTTTTCCGTAAAATTCTGCGAAGATAAATATAATTTTCAAATGTTTCTAGCAAAAATTCTTCGATATTAGAGACTACATATACGTTCCGCACTGTATACGCGAAAACATATTTTCTTCTTATGCTCAAAGTATCCATGCATCGTGAACCGAAACGCTCCGGTTGCATTTTCCGAAATAACAGGATTGATGAATTATTAGTTTAAATATTGAATTAAATTGTTTCAAATTAGAATTAGACAATAGACGAAACAAAGAAACGATCATATATGGAAAATAAGTCGTTCGGATGAAATTGTTTACGTTATGTTGACGAAAGAAATGTTCACTTGTAAAAAAGAGAGTTCGTTGAGAATTCGTTGACCATTTCCATCCTTGATATAATTTAATTCGGTAATTATGCAGATATACGAAGCCACTTCCGATTTCAATCGTTTTCACATATATTGTCAAGATCAACATTCTGAGTAATGTTATAAAAATTTTAGCCCGCGCTCGTTGTTTCTTAATAAGTTATAGAAAAAAGTTTTATTAATTTCACAAATGTATGTGTATGCGCGCGCGGGGGGGGGGGGGTACAAGGAGGGCCGAAGGCCCCCCTCCCACAACTACCCCGCCGGTAGGGACCGCATTACGAAAAGTTCAATCAGCATATATCCATTGTAATTAAACACTTCGCAATGCGGTCTCTATCGGCGGGGTGGTTGCGGGAGAGGGACTCCCCGAAGGCCTCCCCCTTACATCCCCCGCGCGCGCGCGTGTGTGTACCTTTTTCGAAATAATGGCAACTATGTATCCTAAATGAAAATATAAATGATTCTACGACGTAAAAATATAAATGATTCTACGACGTAAAATTGTGTTCTATTCATTAAACTTTTTGGTTAATAACTTATTAAGAAACAACGAGCGCGGCCTAAAATTTTTATAACATTACTCAGAATGTTGATCTTGACAACATATGTGAAATCGGAAGTGGCTCCGTATATATGCATAATTACCTTTAATTACCTTTAAGTATGTGATAACACCCATGTATAGAGAAATATTTATGTACATGTGTACGTGTGTAACAATTTTTATAATTTCAATTAACTACATCAGAGAAGAACACAATATATATTGATACATTTTTATAATTACTCTTATTCTGATAATATCAAAAATAATTAAACTTCAGTATCGTGTATACATATATAACATTCTTGTTTCTTAATAAATATCATAAAGATTGAATAATTATCTAATGATTTTTAATTTTTTTAATTTATATGTATAAAGCACTTTCTTCAAATTATATATTTATAAGGAAATTACAATATCTTTTGTATAACTTTTTTATTCACAAATACGAGGATAAGTCGTGTAAAAGTTTGTTCTCTCGTAATATAAACAACGCATTTTTAAATGTATGTCAATGAGCAAATATATAATACAAAGATATAATATTTCTGACAGAAAGATGTATATTTTCCCAAAAACATAAAGATAGAGCCAACATTACATACTTTAGAAAGAGAAAAAAAATTGTGACATAATTTTCTTTCCTTATTTGTACAGATCAAAAAAACGCAACTGCTTTTTGTCATTATACATGTGATATTATCTTTACATCCTTTTATTCTATCGATATTATTCTCTAAAACTATTTAATTTTTTATTTATTATTGTTTTTTATAACAAGCCATCCTATTGACTTGCTTACTTTCTGATAAAAAATAAATCATATAAATATTGAATAAAAAATAAAATTCAATACAAAATTATAAATTATAATTTCGATAAATGTGTATATATGTACAGCTTGAAAAAAGTGATATTTCAAAAAAAAAAAAGTACCATAAACTATTAAGATTTAATTATTTTCAGTGTTATCAGAATAACTTGTATATGAAATTGATTGCATAAATGTATTCAATATATGATGAAATAGCTATTGAATGTTAAATAACTTATACGATAAGATAATTGAAAAAAAAAAAAATGGAGCCATATACATAATTTTTATCGCGAGAAGAATTTAAGGTTATCGGTTTCTTAATTATATACAAAATGTGTTCACTTTTTTTCTTCGAATGTATGCAATACATTAAAAATAATCTCGAAACACGCAATAAAATTACACAATAAAATTTGTGCGAGAGATATATTCTACATGTATCTCGTCGAACTGGTAGAAAAAATAATCTAAAAAATGAAAACGAAAAATGCTCCCGTAACATTTCGTTTTATACGATCGTTCGACAAAATATTGGATGCGCCGCAATTTTCTCGGCATTTATAGAAGATTATCGCTTTTTTCTCCAAATATATTGCAATATATTAAAAATAATCTCGAAACGTAATGAAATTTGCGCGAGAAATATATTCTACACGTATCTCATCGAACTGGTAGAAAGAATAATCTAAAAAGTGAAAACGGAAAATGCTCTCGACATTTCGTTACGCGATCGTTCGACAGAAAGTTGGATGTACCGCAATTTTCTCGGCATTTATAGAAGATTGTCGAGAAAACCGTTGAAAGAAGATCAGAAGTAGGATAAATGAGAGTAGTTTTACGCTAAGCGGGTCTAGCTCAAGGCGAAATACGATTTCCGACGTTTAGGAAAACCATCGTACAAAACACATTTTTACGCATTAAATACTTAACGGCTCGAAAAAAAACAAGCACTTTCGAATTCACATCACGCTGGAATTGACATTGTTAGCACATTCTCTGTTTTTATCTCTAGAAAAATATACATCGCACGTAATCTTTATATAAAAATATTTATCATAGTAATCAATTGATCAACAGTTTTTAATCGATAGGTAATTATTAGCGATTAATAATTAATTCGTTACACTTTCTCGTTCGACTATAAAATGCTCCGAATAAATAAATGAAATAAAAGTAACATAGACTAAATAAAATAACATAATCTAACTAGAACTAGGATAACTGTATATTATTTTATTACTACGATTATAACTGTACATGGCAAATAGATGTGCTCTCTCGTTGTGTGCGATTCTATGCGATCGCTATGTATTTAGTTTATCGGCGGTTACGGCAATTGCAGGTAACGGTACGCCAGATGTTTACAAGATACTCGGAGGTGCGCGAACGCGCCAAGAGGATTACGATTATTCGTATATGAATGATGATATAAAGGATGCAGAAAATCAAGGAGACAACCTTTACATTGGTCATAGCGGTGACCCCTGGAGCACTCCCTCGACCCGCGACAAGGATATCTACGTCCACGTGTCGTCGCAGATGGATACCGCGTTGAATAATACGAGAGCTCGATCTATCGCGTAAGTGTATCGAGGCAATCAGTGCATAACTGAAAATTCTCCTCACGAAATAACAAACTGATACGAAGATTGCGCGATTTTAGGACGAGTGAGAAAACGACGGGCCATGCAAGATTCAAGAGAGGAGTGATACATCTCTATAACATGGTGGTATGCGCCACGGGGTGTAATCCTTTAGCTTACAAGGGATACGGTTGTTACTGCGGATTTTTAGGATCCGGTTATGTCATCGATGGCATCGATCAGTAATGTTATTTATCTATATATGGAAAAAAATACAAATACATAAATCTAAAAATAAAATACTTCAGATGCTGCAAGATGCACGATTGGTGCTACGATGCCACAGAATGTCCAATGTTCTCGGAATACTTTGTACCATATTATTGGAGGTGTTATCACGGTTACAAACCGGTTTGCGGTATGTTTATTGATTATCATTTCATCTTTCCGCATTCAGTGCATCTTGTTTCTCTTACGAAAGATTAAAATATCTTTGATACAACCTTTTTTAAACTCAACCAACTTGATAAATTTGTTTTCGATGCGTATAATGTAATAATGTGACGCGATAAGATAAAACAGTTCGCGCGTTAAATCTTTGTTGCAGCGGTTGAACATGGAAGCTGGGGAGGATCGGGATCTTGCGCTCAACGTTTGTGCGAATGCGATCGCTCGTTAGCCGAGTGTCTGAAAAAATACCCTTGTCCTACCACCAAAGCAGTATGTACCTCGTCAGCCTGGAGACTCGTGCAGAATCTTTTCATGATTATATAATTTTTTTTTTTTTTGGAAATATCTTGGTCGAAAGGCGAATCATACGGTTAAAAAATACGATAAACTCATTTTGCGTAATTTGCGTAAGGTTTAACTTTCGAGATAAAAAATGTTTCACATGCAACTTTTATTATTTATATATGCATGATAAAAAACTAATCACATCAAAGGCAATAAACTTCAATATCCAAAACGAATATTGATTATTTCCAAAAAAAATTGCGTCTTTACTTGAGTCTTTAATGCGCTTAAAGATAAAAAGGTCATATTACATCAATAATGGTTATCATAATATTGCAATGTTTATTTTATCATTATATCATAATGTATATATCATTATACATATGACATACCGTCAAAGAAATAAGTATGTATAATTATAAAAAAATTATGTGATATATTCTATATTAGCAAAATCGATTTATTTTCGCGCATGTGTTGCTTTAATTTAAAAATTACTTACATTGAACATTAATTCAACAATTCCGTTTCTTGTCATTTACAATGTATTTACACCTCCAGTCAAATGTACCATTCTGTTTTTGTATCTCTTGGAAATGTCTTGCTCTATCTGTAATTAAGTACAATATAAAAAGTAACTTCATCTCCGAAAAGTACAGTATTGCGAGACAACAAAGATACATACCTCTGTTTGCAACTCTTTAGTTCTTTGTATAACAAGTTTTAATAGTGGACGCAATTTATCGATTTGGTTCTGCGCATCTTCTTGCTTTTGTCGCATGGATTTTTGTTGGGTTACCATTCTATCAATCAGGTTTAATTTTTGCTTTAAAGTGGCTGTCACTACATCCACATACCTGTGATGAAAATATGAACATTATATATCTATAAGAATTTTATTTTTGTATACAATTATAAACATACCTTGAATAATGTTTGATATTATGCAAATGCTGTACATTGCTATGTAATATCTCTGAAAGGACAATTTGAACATTGTCCAGCATATTCTGAGTGGTCTCTGTGGTGGAAAGTTGCAGAATAGGCGAAGCATTTTGCATCTGACTAAAACTCAGGAGGTTGTTTCTGTCATCGCCTTTAAACTCGTATAAACGTAATTTCAAAAATGCCTCTAACTGTAAAAATATTTAATTTACTTAAAATGTAATGATCAATCTTATATGTATGGCATATTTATATACAATACCTCAAACAGTTGATTGATAAATTCCGATCTCGTTACTGGATTGTCCAATATCGTGTATGCGTCAGATCCTGTAGCTACACCACCTTCGTGACCCGCTGTTTCTACAACTATACCCGATTCCTCCAGAGAGATATTGTAGTCTATTTCCGTCGCAGCAGGTTGTTCTACATCTTCATCTCCCCAATCAATATCGCCTCCTGCATCCAAATTAACTTCTTCGCCGAAATCAATTTCTTGATTTAGATCTAAGTTGCCAAAATCAATAGTCTGTTGAAAATGTTTTTCTTTTTAATAATGCGATCAGGGAGAATTTTTACTCGTCATTGAAAAAGACAAAAATATTCATACATTGCTGTCAATATTTACACTAGCTCTTTCATTACTTTCATCTTCATCAGCTTTAATATTTAAAGGTGGTTCAATTATCGACGCTGGTGCTTCTCCGTAAGTATATTCAAATGTTGTTGTGTCTCCTTTCTCTATAAAAATATGTTTATATCTATACTTTTGAAATAATATTAATATTTTCTATTTTCATTCTTGAAATAATGATTTTGTAACATACCGATTACATATTTAATTATAGATACACAATTACTGTCATACTGCTGGCCGAAAGTAAACTCTACAAATGCACTATAAAATTCGACAACTTTGTTTAAACTCGTTGTCTTTTCTGCTACTCTCTGGTAAATTTCTGGCAGTTCTTTGACTTTTTCCATCAGTTCATGTCTAACTGTGCTGTAGCCAGTTATACCTAATTGTTTGCACAATGTATTATATTCTGTATGTGCAATATTTTCTGACTTTTTATACTCTGCCTCCTTCTTTTCGAAATCCTGCAAATACAATTTTGTATACAATATTTATACAATGATAATAAATAAATACTATAACATTACAAATAAATCAACGTATTTACAATCAGAGATTGTTCTAATTTTTGTATCTGTTTCTTAATACTGGGGACCTCATAATTGACATTTCTTATGAGCATTTGTGCAGCTTCAGCAAGATATATATTATCTCTTTCATACAATCGTAAAATCTCTTGCCAATCTTTCATTCTTTGCGAACCATAACGACCAAATAAATTTTTTGTGTCTGCTTCCGTTTCCTTCAAAATTTCTACAATTTTGACACAATAAAAATAATTTATATCTGTAAAAAGATACGAAGATTAAACAATCTACAACCATATGCTTGTAGAAGATTAAAAGATGAATTAAGATAAATTAATAAAAATTACAAGCGCCAAATAACAATGATGCAATGCCATCATGGGCAGGCATATTCTGTATTGCATTATTAATTTTTTCCCTGATGGTCCAGACATTTGTATGCCAGTCTTTTTTGCAATGCCTTCGGTTAATCAACCAGTCCAATAACTTGCCAGTATTAATGTCAATTGGAATATCTTGTTCCTAAATAATTAATTATATATAAATATTACTTTCAAGATAAATTAGCAGGTAATACAATTAAAATATTAAAACAACTATAAATTGTTAATCTAACAAGATGTTTACTTCGAGACTGACACGTGTGTATGTATATGCATATATGATACCTTTTATACTTAAAATTTATGCTATTTTTACAACAAATTCATTATTTTCGAATAATACAACACTGTTTACCTGCATATTGCTAAATCTAATGAGCTTCTTTTTTTAGGAAATCGTAAATCTGTCATCAATTGGAATTATAACAGAGGTTATAACAGCTGTTTTTCTCTTGCCGTCATATGACAACAGTGACGCACTCGATTGTCTGCAGCACCGGCTGTCCCCTTGACAAAAATGATACGTAATAAAAGAAACTTTAGACACAGTAATATAAATTATATTTAATTAGGTAATATAAAATTAGAAGAATCCACACAGCCTTCAAAATACAAAAATCAAGATAAATTTTTTTTTCGTAAAAAGGAAATAGAAGCTATGAAAAAATCATTGAAAATCGAAGCTAATTTAAATAATATTTAAAGTAATAGAAATAATCAAATATTTATCATTGCTATATATTTTGATTATAATTTTAATTGTGATTTTGTAGCAAAATTTTCATGATTTTTGTAACCAACAATAAATAGTTTATTGACGATTTGAGAATGTGTAATATATCGATGATACACAAATTTATTAATTTTTTACAAAAATTGTTTATATATAAATTAAGTATCCTGTAAACCATTCGATAGAATTGTAAGAATGATTCTTAATTAAATATTATAATAAGTTGTAACGAATAGATAATATATATGAAAATTTTTAGAGAACTTACTTAAAAAATATGGGGGGATTGTTGATGATCTCATTTGCCCTATTTTTTACACTAGTGAACGCGTTTATCAAATACATACGCAGCAGAAAAAAAAGACACCTGCCACACCTGTCACGTATGAAAAAAGAACGTCATTGCAGTTGTTCATATATATATAAGTAATGATAGTTAAAAAAGAATTTTTTTGAATAAATAAAATTATCGCTTTAAATCGATGGAAATAATCGATTCATTTATTTAAAAGTAACTTCTATCTTATCTGATGTTTAAAATAAATCATGGAAGGCGCGAGAAATACTGTATAAGTACGAAAGACGGGAATTAATTAGATCGCTAGGCGATACAAACGTAATACACACAAGTATCTTTTAATTTATTATGTTACACATTCACAGTAAGAAAAACATGATGTCCATGTCCCCTTCAGTATCCATTATATTGTCTCTGTGGCCAGTATAAGTACAACTTGAGTGTCCATCGAGAGGAGTATGTGTAAGATTTCTATTGCTTGCACTCTCCCTTCTAATCATTCCGAGTTGTATCAGCACCCGTGTTGCAAATGTTCTTATCCTCGGTATAAATTAGTATCTATGAACGATGCATACGTTCATGATACGCGCGAGGATGTAGATCACTTTGTGCTTCTCACCGGCTCTTTGGATTCCGATCGCCAAGTCCTTTCAGCGAAAGATTCGAAGCAGACTGCCAGAAGAGGTTCGCGATGAATGTTCCGCTGAGAGAACGTGCAGATTTGACATATTACCGGCGGACAGTACGATGGCACTTTGTCCGGTGATGAAAAAAAACATCACGAGGACAATTCGATCGATGATCGTGTACCTCGATAGTAAACGAGTTTTTCCTTTTTCATTACTTTGCAATCACACTAATAACTTTGAGAAGGACTTCGATCCGTAAAGAAGTTCTTCAAAATGAATACCTGCCCCACGGAGATGAACAGAATGCAAGCTGTCTCCATTACCGACCACCAAAGCACCCGTTCATTAAGTTCCTCCGCGCGTTTGCGACCTTGTGCTTCACGCAAACGGTGATGCGTCTGATAATCGAGGATGCTGATTAAATTCTTGTGCACTTCCTGTGCCGAAGACTCCATCTGTAAAAACACTGACAAGTGAGATATCGTTCTTCATTAATATATATTGTAAAAAGATTCCTGCCAACAATAACTTGCCTGAGTCATTACTGTGACGTGTTCTCCAAGACCAGGAAGCGGCATTTCGTCGCCGACTTGGAAGTCCATATACACAAGTTTATGTGAATATGTAGAAAATTCATTGCTAAAGCAGGCCTTATACACTCCTGATATAGTTGGTATAAAGTTATGCGAATCAAATTGTGTCTTCACTTGACTATAGATAATTTCCTTATTTGGAGCCTCCAAAGTTACATCTACATCATACTGGCCACCTGTAACCACCTAAAGACCAGGAACAACAATTATTACAAACAACACAAATTATTTTACAAAATTTGGGAAATTATAGCTTGTTAAATCAATTATATAAAGTCTAATGGAGAGGGAAATTGCGATGCCAAAAACATTGCTATATCGCTCTCAATCGGCATACAAAATTTTCCTTCAATTTCTAAAGAACATTTGTATAAAATCCAGATTCGTTTTACACTACGTTCCTTTTCATTCTCTAAACATGCAAATGAAGAAAATGTAGCTGAAACAGACTTGTGTCGAAGCGAGAATTTAATATCGATACAAGTAAGTTTTTTACTGGAATAAAATTCTACTCGTTACATTAACACACACAAGCACATATTATATTTGCATTTTTTAAATGACATTTGCATATTCTCCATCATTCGCACATTTACATTTTATTCGTCTCATTTCCCCCTCGTTCGTTCAATTTGCAGTCAAGCGCACAAGTATTGCGCCGAACTCTGGTCCCCGATGATCCGACCGCCGATAATAGCGACGTGTCATCGCGACGCAAATATATATATATACATGTACAATTGATCGATAGCGACCTGAAACTCCAACGTGGACGAGACGTTCTTCTCGATCTCCTGGTAGAAGCACTCCTTGGCGTTGTCGGCCAGCTCGAAGGTTAACTCGACGCCGCCCGCGAGCAAGAGTGCGCCGAGCAACGAGACGAGGAGCAGCCAGGCCGACCAGCAATCCATCCTTAAATCGGTCAGTTCGCAACTGTGATCTTGTCACTGATCCGCGCGCATTTAAGACACCCCCGGGACTGATGTAAGATGCGAGGAAGCGCGCTCTCCGCCTTTTCGACCTCGGCTCTCGGCTCCGTCGGAAAGATCCCGGCGAGGGTTTCTCCCGCAAACAAGCTATTTTAACGTGGCCGGATGTCGGTCGCGACGCGGGACGTAACGAAAAGCGCGCAGCTGCGGAAGTGGCTGCGCTCACGTCACGGCAGGCATAGGCGGGCAGATACGAGCGCGTCCGCGCTTAACCCCTTGACCCATTAATTTATCGCTAATACCTGCGGTTTGTGTGTTTTCCCGATACGTAAATACGGAACTGCAATTGTCAGATCGATCGAGGTCAATCCAAGTTTGATTGGAAGTTTGCCAAAGACCGTCGGCGGTTTAAATTGGATCGAGGATGGACATCGTTCGAATCAGATTCACTCGGATAATGGTAGGTTATAGTAATTAATAGCAAGTAGATAGTTTCTCCGGACCTGCAGGTGGACGCTTTTGATGAAGGGATTGTCAAAAAACTTGCGATTCTTGTAATTTATAATTTGAGTACATTTTTAGTCGCGTTCTTTTCTGTACGTGTGTTATGTATTTTTAGAAATAATATATTCCTCACACACACTACACAAATCTAGTTGTACTTATCTAAAGTAATCAAAGTATGTATTGATATAAGATATGATGTTGCAATATATTTATAAAAATATATATATATATATATATATATATATATATATTTTTAAATCTAAATATTAGATGTTGATTTTTTTCATGAAATTATTAATTAATAATTTATAATAATGATTTACATTAATTAATGAATAAATAGATAATAGTACGACTAATCATGATTAATACGACGTAAATCAAGTCAAAATAATTTTTTATATTTATGTAATGAATTGATGAAAATGAAAAAGAAGAAAACAGATCATTTTTCAAACATTATTTTCACTAGATAATAAATTTCTTTGTAAACAGTTTATCGATTCTGTCGAAATCGGTAGTTTTTATTCTCGGCTTGTTATGGCTTCAAACAAATTTCAATAAATACAATAATGTCATAACGAGCGATTCGAGAGGCTTGCGAAATGTGTACGTTTTTGTTTACGAAAGAGAGAGAGAGAGAGAGAGAGAGAGAAAGAGAGATGTACTGCCATAATAATCGGAAATTTCCGTCACGTTTTCCGCCTCGTGTACTAGTAGCTATACATTTAATTATTGACGAGAATACAAAGTACTAGCTTCCTCCCTCGTGTGTCATGGGGTCCCGCGCAATTCGCTAAATATTAAACCTTGGTGGCAACGCAGGAAGGAAACGCACGCATATTAAAGCGGGAAGACGCGCGAGAGAATACGCGATGAAATTACCTTCCTGTCTGCTTTAATGCGCGTCTTTCCTTCCTACGCAAAGGTAGGTTTAATGTTTGGCGTCTGGAAGACACTGTTTATAGCAGGTGAAGAAAGCACGCGTCGAGTTATTTACCCCTCTTGATTTGTAAGCACGCGTCAAGCATTCAAATCACATTCTTGCTCCCAGTACCAGAAGGACTTTTCATACAATTGTGGTTCGATTCTCAAAATACAATACACCTTGATATCTTAATTCGAGAAATATCGATCTTTTTTTTCAAAATTGAAAAATTCATCGTTGATATACTTGTCAAGATTGCGAATTGTGGGACACCCTGTAGAATATAGTCCAAGTATAGAACCACGCATACATGTATAATATGCATTGTTTCTGGGGTCGTGAGGCGCCCTTCGGAGCCGCCCATCGGTCTCGTAGTCGCGCCTCTTGGCGTCACGTCTCGGTGCGCGACGGCGAAGGTGCGTGTCGAAGGGGCTAGAGGAGGCTAAAGGGAGCTAGAGGGGAGGCACGCGGGGAGGGTGCTCGAGAAAAAAGGAGAGGGCTCTTCTCTTTGAAAGGACCTCTCTCATCGCGATCGCGATGGGCGCGCGCGTTCGCGTTGCCTTCAATTAATACGCTCGTAATGCGTAATGTGCGTGTAGTACGCTACGCATCGGATGCGTAAAGCTGAATGGACCCTCTGTACTTAATGACGCGACACGCGTAACACGCGTTCATCAACGAGGTTCGCGAGATCATCGATCGAACACGCGAGTCCTGTTTAATGTACCCGCGTAATCGAAACCATTGATAAAATTTATATAAAAAGTAATTTAAAAAATGCACGCATGCATATAATACGCAAGATTATCCTGATTCTTACTCAGAGAATGTAACGCGTGCGATATTTGTCTTCAGATATGAAAATTGAATCGAGCAATTTGTCCCCATACAGTACAGAAAGTTGCAGCAATATTGCGGCAATATTGCAGTAATATTGCAATGTTATTGCAATGTTACAATAATGTTAATAATATTGCTGCAATATTCTGTGCTGTATAGGTCGAAGGATATTGATAAAATTCATATGAAAAGTAATTTAAAAAATGCACACATGCATATAATACACAGGATTATCCTGATTCTTACCCAGAGAATGTAACGCGTGCGATATTTGTCCTCAGATATGAAAATTGAATCGAACAACTTGTCCCCACAGTACAGAAAATTGCAGCAATATTGCAATAATATTGCAATGTTGTGTTATGTTATGTTACTGCAATATTACAATGTTACAACAATATTAATAATATTGCTGCAATATTTTGAGCTGTATGGATCGAAGGATATTGATAAAATTCATACAAAAAGTAATTTAAAAAATGCACGCATGCATATAATACACAGGATTATCCTGATTCTTACCCAGAAAATGTAACGCGTGCGATATTTGTCCTCGGATATGAAAATTGAGTCGAATGGAGCAATTCGTTCCCGTACAGTACAGAAAATTGCAGCAATATTGCAATGTTACAACAATATTAATAATATTGCTGCAATATTTTGAGCTGTATGGATCGAAGGACTTGAAATAAAGGAGATATCGTTGATATAGGCAGATCGAATTTTTTTCTAAACAATGTAACCTTAGTACACGGTTCGATCACGAAACATACGCGACGTCGACCGACGCGGAATCCGAAGGTAGTAACGCGACACGAAGGGTTTCTCCTCCGCGAAGATTAACTTCCCAGGGCGGCGGGGCAGCGGCAGCTGCGACGGCGGTGCTGTGGTGGGGGTGGCGAAGGGGCGCGCGGGAGGGGGGGAGGGAGCAGCCGTGACGGCTGCATGAAGCGCGCGCCACGAGTTTTCGGACGGCAGTGGCGCGAGACGGGTCGTCTCTCTCGTCGTGTGCGCGTCCGTTTGCCGCTTTCACGGTGCTCTCCTTCTCGTCGTGTGTTTTCTCGACGCGTCCGCGTCTTTTCGTCGTTTTTTCTTTCTCTCCTCCCGCGCGCGCTACCTTTTCTCTCGCATCTCGATCAGCGATTTCTCCCGAGTGTCTATCGCGATCCTGCGCGTCCGTCGCGAGTGGCATGTTCCTTCGCGTTCCTCGTTCGTGTCCTCAGAGATACCGTGACACAGTGTGCGACCTGTCCGTGACCCTCATGGCCATCGCGGACACCTGTAAGGTAACTATTCCCGAAAGCGAGAAGTGTATGTGTGTGTGAGCGATATAAAATTCATTGGAAAAGTCTGGTTGAAATTGGAAAGATTGTTGTCTCGTAATTTAAATAGTTCTAACCTAAACATTTTGAAAAATCGTATTAGTATGCTTAGTCGATATTAAATGTTTTTTTTAGGAACTTTTGATTTCTAATCTCGCTTGCACACACATTTCTTAATACTTAATTAAACGAGATAATTTCTTATACTCCTAATACTTAATTAAACGAGATTTAATTCTTAATTAAACGAGATAAATATATGTATGTTCTCAGAGGAAAGAAAAAAGAGAAAGAGAGAGAGAGAGTTAATTAGGAAAACATGGAAAGTATAAATGCAAAAATAATCTTAAAAAACGCATATAATATTAAGATAAGTGTTCTATGAATAAAACAAAAAGAGAAAAAATATCTACTTGGTATCTCTCTCTCTCTCTCTTTCAATTAATTCTTTTATATATTATTAACATATATTTATAAGTCACATGAGAGAAATGTAGGAACGAAAAAGTAAGAGGAACATTAATTTAAATGCCACGCTCTTCTCTGACTCTGCTGGTATTTTATAAGTGTTTGATAATAGTTTATAATTGTGCTGGCCTAAATCAAACTTTCCTTGAACTTTAATAACATCATTATTGGATCACCTTTCAGATGCTTGAGTTTCCCTTTGTTGGCTTCTTACTCGGAAAGCACAATTTCACATAAAGATTTCAAAAAACGCAGATTTACATTTGATAAATATTTTTAAAACTTATAAATAGATGCAATTTTTATTGTATATTTATGTAAATTTTTTAAAATTAATATAGATTTTTTTTTAAATTAAAAACATTGCATGCGCTAATATGGCAACTCTCTAACGGATAATTACTTTAATAATTCCGCTTTTATATAACGTATGATGAGCACGCTTTTGTGCATATCGCAACAGTTACATCTTGTCTACCGACAACTGTCACGTTTCCCCGTCCATTTTAACCATCCTTCCTCGTATTTTCGCGTGTAGAATAAAATAGATGTATATTTAGCCTTTGTGAAGAGAAAGAGAGAGAGAAAAGAGGAGGAAAACAAAGCTCCGCGAGTGAAACTGAAGCGAAGATGGTGCTATTTTCCGTTGCGATCTCGTCGATGAGATTTTTACTCGACGATTTCGCGGGAGAAAAAGAAACGGAATATCGTTTCGCGCAATCGTTGCGCTTGTTTTACGCGGAACAGCCGTCCCTCGAAACATATAACGCCGGGCAATGCACTTTTCTCTCGTAAACGAAATGTAACGGTACGCACGATGCGAGCAAACGACGCGATAAATGCGGCAAAACGTAACACATAACGTAAGATTGAGCGTTCGCCCATCGTTATTCGACCGTTGTAATTCGCTCGACGTGTCGCGTCGTTGCCCGCGAAGATGCTCTGGAAAATGGACCGTAAACGCTGTTAAGAAAAAAAAGAATATGTCTGCCGATGCGTTCCGTCGCGGTTGTTAACCGTCATCGAGCACCTCGTCAAGGACACGCGAAATGTCCGAGATTAGCGCGTGCAAATATCACGCTTATTAAAGCAAAA